GGCCCAGCTTTCCCAGTGTCCTTAGTCTCAAGTTTTTGCCTAATGTGTTCTTCACTGGCGATTTTGGCTGTCCCCCTTTCTCCCCTCCCCCCAAAAATAAACATTGACAGGCCTTGATTTCTACAATCAATTTTGGAGATTCCAGACGCATGATGCCACTCAGTTTTTTTACACACTTGGCTCATGCTAGTATAGGATAGGTCTTTCAAAAAAAAAGTTTGTACCTGGGTGTGGTGGTACATGCAGTCAGGAGGCAGAAGCAGGCGGATCTCTGAGTTCTAGGACAGCCAGGGCTATACACAGTAACCCTGTCTCAGGGGGAAAAAAAAAAGTGTGTGTGTGCATGCATGTACACACGGTACATGCATGCCAGTGCATGCATGCATGCACTTATCTATGCACCTATAAGATCCAGAGTTCAGCATTGAGTTCCTTCCATGGCCACACCTGGCTTTTCATGGGTGTTCTGGAGATCTGCAGTCAGGTTGTTATGCTTGAGTAGCAAGGACTTTATCCACTGTGCCATCCCCCCAGCCCTGAAGTAGCACTTCTGAGCACAAGTTAGATACTGCCAAAATGTAGGCTAAAGCTGGCAGTATAGGAGATCGAGCGGGGAACTTGAAACCATTCACCCAATGAGCAGGTGTCTCCACCTGGCCCGGGGAGCTGTGGTCCATCATGATCCCCAAGCCGACACCAGTCTGGGATGGGTGGAAAACTCCCCCTCATTCTGTCTTCTCTTGGTTGCTTCTAGATCCCCTTTATCACTTACATCGCTGTCCCAATTCACCGGGTTTTGAGAATCTATTCATGGCCATCCATTACTATTTCCAAATATTGCCAAGATCAGCATAATGGGTGCATTACCCCCCAAGTGACTGGCAGCTTCGTGACCTTTCTTTCCAGCCACAAATGAAGGGGACTTACAAGACATGTGCCCGCCTGAGTAAAGCACACATTCTTTGTGGAAAAAAGAAAAAAAAAAAAAACAGGATAAATTACAGAGAATGGCCGCGTAATGATTACAGAAAGGTAGATGAGGCAGAACCCATTAGCGAGCTGCATTTTGTTCAAAACTGAGAGAGTGGCAGGCAGACTAACACGCCTTTGTGCTGGAACCCACTCAGCCATGGCGATGAGTAATAATGCAGCCGGGGATCTGTGCATTTCCCCCCTTTTGTGCCTATTTTCATAAGTTAATAACTCAAGCATGGAAATTGGCTCAGGCTGAAGCCTGGTGGTAGAAGCTGGGCAAGCGGTGTGGGAAACATGTTGTTGTTGTTGTTGTTGCTTAGTTTAGCTTGGTGTTTTTAAGTGAGGAGCGGCGATGCCACCGTGGGTTTTCTCTAGTGACACGTTCGTGTCAAACCCGAGACCGGTGTGGATCTGTTTCACCGGGTTCACTTTTAAGGCCAGCGGGGAGCAGTTTCTCTACTCACAGGTGTCCTTTTCTGTTTGGTGCAGGTGGGATGGTTGCAGGGGCAGGAAGTGACGTCATTCTGGACTCACCTGCCTTCACCCAGGAGACTCCCACCCCACCAGCAAACCTAAGGACTGGGCGAACAGCAGCTGCTCTGAACAAAGAGGGGAGGCCCTTATTGTGGGTTCTGGATGATTTCTACAGCGAAAGGAGCAAGAAGCACCAAAAAGCTGGTCACCCTTCTCACTCCCACCGGTGGGCAGGGACCAGGTTTCAGATGGACCTTTTCTTTGGATGGGACAGCAGATCTTCAAGATGGAAAAAAACAAGCACCCTGGTACCCACACCCCCGCCCCCAAATAAATGGTCACTTTTATGTGTTACAACACAGCAATTTTAAAAACTAAAAACCCAGCCAGCTAAAACATGACTCACAAATGCTGAACCCTGTCTTTAACTTCATAGCCAAGCAAAGGGAGGGGCAGGAGAGAAAGGGACCCCCAGATCAGCAGCATCCAACACCTTTCTCATCCCCAGGAGGAGACTTCCAGGCCAGTATGCACCACTTACATCCCACAGTACAGCTGAGTCCCAACACCCAGGCATGGGAGGAAGGTCTGTCTCCCTTTTTCTGGGTCCTGTCCGGAGAAGACAGAGCAGAGGAAGTGCGTGGATAACACCTGCAGGTCTGAAGGAAAAGCCAGCCAGGCAAGTAGGCAGGGAGATAGGGTGCAGAAATAAATAATACATTATCACAGGGTGCATTTAAATTTATTTATGTGTGTTTTATGTGCATTGGTGTTTTACCTGCATGTATATCTGTGTAAGGGTGTAGGATCCCTTGGATCAGGAGTTACAGACAGTTGTGAGCTGCCGTGTGGGTGCTGGGACTTGAACCCACGTCCTCTGGAAGAGCAGCCAGTGCTCTTACTTGCTAAGCCATCTCCCCAGCCCCCACAGGGTGCATTTTAATGCACACCCCCAGCCAAGGCTCATTGAAAAGGATAACAAAATACTCTCCTACCAATTTGCCACCTTTCAAGGACAATTTAATAATGTTTACTTTGGTATTAGAAAATTGTTCCATTTGTGAATCTTTAGTAATATTCCTCCCTGGGGGCACTTCTATCTTTGGAGTCTTTCTTTTCCTCCTCCTCCTC